AATGCCTTGATTAGAGATTGCTACTTAATAATCTCATATATGTTATGCTAAATTTTGCAAATTGAGTTCTTGGAACAATAACAATCTCCAGTATTTACCATAATAATTATTAGGAATATATGCTCTTCTTCATCATAAGATTGTTGGTACTTATAACAGTTTTATAAAGAAGCCCAATTCAAATCAGCATATTTTTTATAGTCTATCTCTACTTATGCATTAGATTAGAATTTTATGCTAACTTATTCCCTTATATTGGTTTGGTATTCGTGCCTTTAATGTTCAAAATTGACAAGCACGAATAATTACTATCTAATTTAATTACTGAATTTTTCAAAGGAACAATAACTAATGCTATAATAATAATCGATGCTTAAACAAAACAGCCTCTATTTCATACTAATTAAATTGAATCTGAATTTAACTATTCAATTGCGAATCAAAAGCACTTTATTAATACCCTGGAATAATTTTAAGATTCAACCCATAAGACATTAAGTTCTGTTTTTGAGGAATAAAAATTATAAACAACCTCTGGAGAATTGGCTTAATATTGCAAACTTCAAGAAATATCAAATGAAGACTATTCATTTATGGATTCCCCTCAACATAAAAAGGTGTCAACATTTATTCACGATGAAATTAATGAAGATAGATAAGAATTAGTTATTGAAAGTCCTAAACTCTAGGGTAAGATACTATAAAATTAGCACTCGAATCAATTTAATGATGATACTCCTTAATTAGGAAAGAAGAGTAAATTTGGACAATTCAAAGACAGTCAATATCATTTTGATACATTCAACGAATTAAAATAAAAAAGATTAAATATATAAGTCTAACATTGCATTTGGGATTATAAGGAAGCATTTATGATATCATTGAAAGATTTGAGAAACTAGTAGATGATAGAAATATTGAATGATGAATTAGAGGAGAGTAGGAGATAGAATGAAAATAAGGATTAGATATTGGCCACAGTGTTTCATGATTTTAAGACACCAATTAATGGCATCTCAACCATAGTGGAGGCAATGGAAGAGAAATTTGATATTAATTCATAATAGAAATACTATTTAAGAATAATAAAGAAAAATGTATATTTGATGTTATACATGATTCAAGACATTTTGGATTTTGCTAGAATTCAAAAGAATTAGTTAAGATTAAGCATTAGCGACTTCTATTTAAATGAAGTAATAGAGGAGGTAGTTGAATTGGTGGCGATCTAAGCAGAATAAAAAGGAGTTGTCATAACTACTCATTATGATCTGCCTACATATCAAATATATAGTGATCCAAATAGAATTAAGTAAGTCTTGATGAATTTTATTTCTAATTCATTGAAATTTACAGAATCAGGATCGATAACTATATCAGTATCTTCCCATTAGACAGACAAATCTTAACACATTGTTCGAACTGGCTCATCTAAAAATGTGTTGAGTTAATAATAGAATTAATAATAATCTATAGGCTAATTGAGGAAACAACTTTCAGGTAGATCAGTAAAATCATCAAATGGATCCAATAGGATGATATATACCATCACAATAGCAGACACTGGTTGTGGTATATCTGAACTGATAAAGCCAAAGTTATTTAATATGTTTGCAACATTCCCAAGTAAAGAAGTCTAAAACAAATGTGGCACAGGAATTGGGTTGATGGTCTGTAAGAAATTAATCAGACTATTGGGACCTTCTGAAAATATTGATCTTTGGAGTGAACAAAATAAAGGAACCAAAATGACATTTCAAATCTATTCTCGATTATCTGATGACCCAAAAAGATCTCCAAATTATATTAGTGTTTTCAAATAGGAGAGTAGTTCTAAGAATTTTAACATCGATAGTCAATCCTAATTTGATGATTAACAGTCTATTTAATAAACATTTGTTCGTTCTTCATTATTGTATGTATATTCAAGACCAGTAGAAAAGCATGATATAGACTAGGATTTAGATATGCTACCTGAATATGAGGATATAGATCAATAGAAATTTCATAATATCAATTATATGAAGAATTAGAGATCGCCAACAGTAAGTAATATCAAAAATAAGGAACAAGCACTTGATGATTCCCAAGATATTATCGACCCAAGAAGTCGTTTATAAAGAATATTATAAAATAAACCAAATTTTTCCATTTTGATTGTTGATGATCAACCCTTTAATGTATTGGCTTTGAAATTGTTATTATAAGATATCTCTTAAAACATCACCTTTTTAGAAGCATATAATGGTTAATAAGCTATCAATAAACTAATAAGTTTCTAAAAATAAAAAAATATCAAATATATTTTTATGGATTTATTGATGCCAATACTGAATGGTTGGTAAGCCACAGAAATGATTAAAGAAATGGTATATTATACATATATTATTCTTGTTAGATATCCAAAAAGTAAGTAGATGAACTCAAAATTATAGCCATTTCTGGGTATGATGATGAAAATGAATAAGAAAGATGTGGAAATATTGGATTTGATGCCTTTATTACCAAACCTGTGAAATTAGAAATGATTGCAGAAGTATTTGTGTAATTAGAGAAAGTTTGAATATAAAGTTTTGTATTATTATTACTGATTATATATATAAAAATAAATATTCAAAATTTATATATTTAATTTGTTTTATTGCTGAGAAATTAAGTTTTATATTTGAAATACTCCTCTAAAGATATTTATTAATTAGGATGTCTTATGAAAAGAAAGACGTAAGATTGTATTTTGATGAAAAAGGCAATGTTGGTTATGCTAAATTCCAAGCAAGATGGGATGGATTGAAAAAGCTCAAAGTCAACTTAGGCAATAAGCATTTCACTTAACAAGTAGTCGAAAAGGCTAAAATACTTTCTCGAGAAGATTAATAAAGACCCTTAGACATCATGATTGCAGGATTGACCAACGATGATAGCTCTGGTGGTATAGCTGCCACAAGACCTGAGGATTATGATTTCTTCCTCTTTTACTTAGAAACTCACATTAGAGAATATCAAAAAATCGAAGGCTAAACTAAATAAGGCATGACTGGATTATCCCTGTTGGTGAATATGTTCTTACAAAGATAGATCCAAAACTTGAAAAAGTTTCAATGAGAGCTAGACTAGAAATGTAGCTGGATACAACTTGCCTTCATCTATGGACAAAGATGAGAGAATCAAATTTGAAAACCAAATGGTTGAACTCTTTGAGAAATTTTGCTTCCCTGAAAAATATCATAGTTTAACATCAGGGCATAAAACTTTATTTCAGATTAAGAAGCTCATGTTCATAGAAACAAGCACTTCCTTTTCATTAGTATGACACATGATAATTATTTAATGTCTAATGGTGTTGCTTCTGATTGGCCATGTGGAAGAGGAATTTGGATCAGTGAAGATGAAACTAAAATGGTTTGGGTTGGAGAAGAAGATCAATTGAGAATCATTTCCATTTTCTAAGGAAATGATCTTAGTAATGTAGACTAATCATTACATGAATTATTAACATGAATACAAAAGAGTGGATTGAAGTTTGCAGAACATCCACCTTATGGTATCATTACCACATGTCCAACAAACATGGGAACAGGAAAAGATAATCTATTTTAGGAAATTCCAAAATATTACTAAAGGTGGAAAGGATGAAGCTAAATTGAAAGATTTTGCTAAGTCATTAGGATTATAAGCTAGAGGTGTTGGCGGAGAACATTCAATATGGATAGCGAAGGAACTGCTGATATTTCACCATCTGCTGGATTTGGTGTTACAGAGGCCACAGTTACCAAAAGATTGTATAAAGGATTGATCAAATTTTAAGAGATTTAAAAGAATGCCGTCAATGAAAAAGAAAGATAAAATTGTTGCAATAAATTTTGAATTATAATAATAGAACATTTAGATTATTTATATTATTTCTCCATTTCTCTTTCTTTTTGATATAAATATATATAACTATATATATGATCATCATTATTATAATTATTATTTTTGTTTTTTTTATTGAATTTTTGTATTTACAATTTCTTGTAATCTTTTGAGTTCTTTTTCTATTTAATCTATTTTTGCTTTTTGTTATTTAGTATTTTATTATTTACATTTACTCTTTTTTTTTTTAACTTAATCATCCTTTGCTTTCTATTACATTATTTGATTAAATAAATTATCGCATTCTATTTATTCTTAACTTTAAGATTGTATTTTTTGCATTAGAACATCATTTTCCTGTTTTTATTTTTATAATTCTATTTTCAATGTATCCAATTCTCCCCCCATTTATTTTTATATTTTTTCATTCGCTAATTTTAGTTATTCTAATTCTTATTTATAATTGTTTAATAATCCTAATACATTAGTTCTACTTTAAGATAATTCGTTCTAAGACATATCAATTTACAATAATTAATTATGCATTGATAGTAAATTTTGATAAGAAGCTTCTAATTCAATCTTCTCTTATTGAATTTACTCATTTTATTATTATTTGTTTTCTAATTGTTGTTACAACTATGCCTTCTCATTTACTAGATTATTAAACTATTATAAACATTAATCTTCCTATTGAATAGTGTTCATCAATTTTATTCTTGCTTTCTCTCCAAAAGATTGTACCTTCTACTCAAATTAGGATGACAATTCAATTTGTTATAATTATAATTTTTGATTTAATCTTTCCTAAAAATCAAGCTTGATATTTTGCATCTATAATTGAACCTATTAAATTTGTTTCTTTATTTAATTATTAGATTCTTATAGAGATTAATTTCTTTATTGAGTCTATTAAATTAATTTATCATAATTTGTTTATCGATCTGAGTTATTGTTATTTACGATTCCCCTTGATTGTAAATAATCATTCAATTATTGATCAATCTATTACATAACCTCATGTGTTTATTCAAAATTAGACATGTTCTATGAAAACATTAGATGGATTCAAAATTTATTATAATTAAAAATAATAAGGAAAATAATCATTCAAAATTAGGCTTATTGTTAGTTGATTTGATCTTGAGTAATTGTGATTTTCTGATACAGAATTCTTTTCTTTTTTTCAAATTTTCTTCCTTTTCTTTCTTGGCCTCTTGATTGAGGTCAGATTTAAGAGTTTAAAATGTATTCATGTATTATTAAATTTTACCTCTAAAGGTTTTCGGAATAGACCCATTTTCAGAAGAAGCATCCGTACTGCATCTTAATGAGGTCATACTCATTCTTTACGTTGTGGCTCCCTTATTAGTTTAAAATATGTGATTTCCTTTTCCAAACGTAATAAAAGGATGCTCCAATGCCTCAGCAGACGATAATCTTAACTTATTATCCTTACACAGGGTCCTTTTCAAAAAATCGATGCAATTTTCAGAAACATTCAAATTGATTAAGCTAATTCTGCCATCATAATTTTTTTAGACTAATTCTTCATAATTATTTGATGCAAATGGCTCTTTACCTGTTAATGCAAGGTATGTAATAATTCCAATACTATAAACATCTACCTTCAGATCATATTTTTTATCTTGCAATACTTCAGGTGCAACATAACCAGGGGTTCCACATCTGTTATATAAGTACTTTCCTTCTTTAGTGAATTTATCTGCCAATCCTAAATCAATTAAAGAAATAGTCTCAAATGCATCTATTTCTTTTAGCATTATGTTTTATGGTTTTAAATCCCTATGAAAAATACCTTTAGAATGCATAAAACTAATTGCTGTGATGATTGGTTTTATTACTTCAGCAACTTGATTTTCTTCTAAACCATATCTACTCAAAGAATGATGAAGTTCTCCTCCTTAATATAAATCTGTAATAAAAATGATATGTTGTTTGTTTTCAAATACTTCATAGAGTCTAATAATATTTTGATGTTATAATAATCTTAGATAATGCAATTCTTTATTAATAGCTATAATTTCTGTTTCCTCTAACAAAATTCTCTTTTTTTCAAAAATCTTGGCAGCATAATTTAGTTTATTTGTTTTATTAGTAGCTTAATATACTTATGCTGCTATTCCTTATCCAATTTTCTTTACAATTTTATAAGTGGATGTAAAATCTAATTATATAGTTAAGTTTTTAAATGAGTCTATCCATTCTTAAGTATCTCCATAGATTTCAATTGAGTGATCATTCTTTTCCAAAACAAATCCAACTACTTCATTATGTTTAAACAATATTTTCAGAAAGGAATTGACTAGGCTGATGTATTTCTAATATTTCATAGAATTATTACATGCTTAGAATACTAAATATGAGAATCCCCTAATGATAGGTTTTTTGTTTTTGATTTGTTTAATGTTTTAACAAAAAAGGTTCTTTAGTTTTTTTACTTAAAAAGATTCTACAAATTATAACACCAAAGACTTTGACCATCATTAAATACCGAATCTCTATGGCGAATTGTCTCAGCCATGCTGTATTATTAGTATTGCATCAAAGAATTTGCTAATTTATTTTTAAAGAAATTAATAATCCATCATATCTTGTATCTCTAAATATACATATTTCAGAATTAGTTCAAATAATCATATTTAGCTATTCTAATATAGATATATATAATTCATTTTAAAATTTGACTGATTCTTTATTATAATAATTCATATGATTCTTGTTCCTCTTCCTTTTACTTCTAAAATGAATATTCCATAATAGTCAGGTTCAAATTCAAATCTTGGTTCAATAATTTCCATTTCTCTATTTGTTCTTATATTTACCCTAATTCTTTCAATAATTGTGAAGGCTCAATTATTTTCTTATTTGATTATCGTTCATTCTTTGAAATAAAATAATCAACTTCCTACTCCAAATTACTCAACAATCGTAATTCATCAGTTATTGCTATGAAATGGGCACCATTGTCAATTAGTTTTGAATATAAAGTTTCAAGTAACATCCTAAAAACTATTCCAATATATAATTATACTTTCGTATCAAATCTATTTTTTCATATAATTACCCAACAACTTTTTACTCTATTTACTTTTCTACAATCTAACCATTTTTAAAACTCAAAGGTCTAAAAAGTATCAATCTTAATCCAATATAGATATTTTAGAATTTATTTTTAAAATGTTCTTAATATTAAAAATTCATTTTATCTAAGAAGCTTGATTCTAAGAATCTCTTTTTGTATTTTGTTTCTAAATAATCTTCAATTTCCTTCCCAGTAATAATAGCATATTCAAAATTAATGTAACAAAGTTTTTTAAATGGTGATAAGTAATTTCTTCTTTCATCTAATGGTTTTAAAACTAATTCAGCCAAGATCTAAAAATCTTAATCCTAACTTTCATATTCTAATTCTTCTGCCATTTCAAATAGTCTTTCACTTAAACCATCCCATAGTAATCCAGCATTTAAAATTATAGATGATAAAAGTCTTAAGTATATAGAATAAGTTCTTTAATCTAACTAATTTTTAATTTATTCGAATATCTTTTCAACTAATTCCTTTTAGATTTTAATATTTAAATCCTTCGAAGAATTTTACTCTTAGACTTTAATTTGATAATAATTCTCAGGAGTAAGGTTATGCTATAAAAATTTTAATGATGATTCAGTTACTAAAATAGTATTTACATTATTATACATGGCATTATAGAATATTAAAATCAAAGTTATTAATGATAAGTCTTTTAAAATTTACTATGGCTATAAGTATTCCTTTTATAAATCATGAAATTTAAAGTAATCCTTACAAGCATCTAAAGATAAGCAATGGTTTGTAATTTATAAATAATTGATATAATGAATATAATTATCGAGGTAGGTTTGTTTTTGAACTGATTTTAAATGTTCAATGAACCTTAATGATAAGTGTTACTCATGAGAGATATTTTGGATGCATACCCCAATCATTATATAATTATGCATTTATTACATTTCAGTTTCTTATAACCCTTTAAAAAAATAATAGGTTGATAATTCAGCTAGCATTTTTTTGGTTAGTATTAATCTTGGTTCAGCACATTGAGAGATTATTGTAAATAATGAATCAATTATTTAGAATTTTACACACTTTTCTAAAAAAAAGTCATAATAGACTTCCTAAAATAATGAAAACTTTTTAATTCCTTCAGGAACCTCGATATTCCCTTTAAATTTTACTCTTAAATATGTGAAATGTTAAATTATGAAGGGGGCCTTTGAAATGTTTTGTTATTCTCGGTAAAAGTATTTTCTACTGTAATTCAATAGAAACTCTTTTAGATAATGGGAAATAATATTTAATACTTCCTTTGAATTAAATTGGTAAACTAATTTTTGATTATCTATTAATTTGCAAGCATTTTAATTTATTAAATTAAACTTAAATAATATTGAATTCTTATGTATAAAAACAATAGATTAGGATAATTAATTTAATGTTAATTTCGAAGCAATTCTCAACGAAAATACACATTAGATAGAATACAAACAAATAATTTAAGAATGTAAGTCTTAATTGTATTTACAGAGTTCAATACAAACTTAAATAAATCGAATGAAATGTTGATATTCTACATGACCCAATTAATTTAATTGTTAATAAATAACATGATTTTGAATCCTGTCTATTTCTACTATTATTTTTAAGAGAATTATGCCAACTAATAATTGTTTATTTTAAATAACAGGATTAACTTATTGTTAAAATTGTAAAGGGTTAATATTTTAAAATAGGAATTGGATTTCGTCTTATGTCAACGCTTGATTAGTCTCAATTTTACTTTTCATTGATTCAATCAAAGCAAATCCATCAATATACTTTATCTAATCTTCTAAACACTTTCCTTATTAAAAATAGAGATCCAATTAAGATATTATATTATCAAAGCCTATTTATGAATTTGTTTGGAAAAAAACAAAATTTACTTCAGCTTCATCTTCCTTACAATATTTGAATTATTATTAAGATAAATTATTTTGCGATAATATTTTTTATACTAACTAAATTCCTGATTCATAAAATCCTAATTAGCATAACTAAAAAGTTGGTTAGAGATAATTTTTTGTTGTCCAATTGCAAGGAACGATTTTTAAAATATCTCTTTTTATGGTTTGATCTCTAGATATTTAGAGTTTATTTTCATTATTAAATAGAAGTGATTCTTGATAAAACATTCCAATTATTCTTTTTGTCTAATCTTTTATATTCAAGCATTCATACAATAATGCTAAAAATGAATCCAATTTATAATAAGTGAATATGTCCTATAATAGTTATATTTTTAGTTTAATCATAAACTAGGATGTTGAATTTTCATGTTTGAGTATTTGTTTCGATACTTCTATATTATAATTTATGTGTATTTTAGTCATTAACAAAAGAATATCATCTTAAAAAAGATGGACAAAATTAAATATCTAATCCAATAGTTATTCTTACTAACAGATTTCTAATTTTACAGAAGTAAATAAAATATGAAGAATACCCTTAAATTATTGAATGTAATCTGGTACATTTTCTGTTAAAAGTGATAAATCAAATGTTAAATCAGAAGGTTTCAGTAATGAGAGTTTTTAGATTAATAAAGGAAACCAGATATGAAATTTAGCTTAAAATAATCGTTGATTAAGTTATGATTTTAGAAAGGCTAGAATAGAAACGAATAAAATTGGATTACCAAAAGATTCAAAAGAATTTAAACAACGTTCATAATTTTAGCATCTCCAATGGAGAATTCCTGCTAGAACTTACTAATTATTTACATATTCCATTGTTGTTAATGCTGATTTCCAAGATTAAGCTTGCAAATAGTATTTTAAGGAAAGTTAGTATCTTCTTCCTGAAAAATAGCAAGCAGCTCCTTATTCTAATTAAAATGCTTAGATGAATTTTTCGCCTGCTTGTTAAAATAAATCAAAATAGTGTTATTTTTAATGAAAAGTGTTATTTTTTTTAATTTAAGCATTAGAGCTTATTTGTGACTCTAATTTAAATAACCCTTATTAAGCTTAAGTTGCTAATAAAAAAGCTACTGCTTAATACTCCATAGATTAATTCTTCGAATATTTAAAACATTTTGCAGCTTACTCATAAAATTTTAACTAGAACATTTTGATACCTTAATCATCCCATTCTTTTTCAGTATTTTTAATAATAATGGCCTGTTCAATTTTAATAGATTTATCGCTATTATCCTCAAATATAAGAATATTAACTAATTTTAATTCTGTCCAGATTTTTTCTATGTATTTTCTGGAATTAGGATTCTAATCATAAATAAATATCCGTTTTCTGGCACGAGTAATAGCAACATATAAATATTTCAACTCAATGCATAATATTTAATAGGTCTTAATATCAACTGCATATAAATTAGGTTTTGGTCTAAGTTTATTCTCTCCATCAATTTATTCAATTGTTAAAGATTTTAATAATTCCCATTGATTTTAAGGTATAGAATCGTCATCGAAGAAATTATAAATAATAACATCATCAAATTCTAATCCTTTACATTCCTAGATATTTAATACTATTAGATGTTTCAAGATATCAGGAATATCCTTATGGTTTTTTGCTAAAACTGCTTGATAACATCCAAATTCAATTCTACCATCATCTTGACCTTGCATTAAATAGAGGATTGAATTGATATCTTTTGATGAAATAATGGTTGGTTTTGGTCCTGAATCTGCAGATTATTCTTTTTTTAGACAATCTATTGTTTTTGGATATAAAATCTCAATGATTGATATAACATTGTTGGCCAACTATAAAATATCATTGTGAGATCTAAAATTAATTGTCAATGAATATGTTTGAAAATCTTTCATTCCAAAAATTTGCTATTTTAAATCCTAAAATCTAAATCCTACACCTTTTACAATATTTTATGCTGTATCCCCTGATAGCATTATTCGTTACTCAGCCAATAAGTTGAATAAATATAAAGTAGCTTAAGTGAAATCCTAAACTTCATCAACAAATAAGAAATGCATATTAACACCCTAATATTCATATATTTTTATCTTTTAAATTATGTAATTAACCAGATCCATCTAATCAAAATAACCTTGTTAACTTTTCCATTTTTCATATAACATAAAGTAGGAATAAACCTTTAATAATGTTAACTAATCTATTTCTTATTATTATTGATAATTTAAGTAAATTTATTCCGGTAGATAACGATTAGGATATGTATGACTAAATTACGATCCTTTGATTATTGAATATATTTAACACCATACAAAATTACAAAAGGATATTTCCTCTTCTAAATTAAAATTATTTTTTCTTACTGTAATCCAGAAGGAATGGCAAAAGTATTCATGATCAACTTCATATAGTTAAAATTACTATTAACTATTTAAGTCTGTTTTAAATTAATTTAATTTGTATTTTTCATTTTGATTAATAATATTTTAATTAAAAACACTTTCATTGTCTTGCCATCCTGCATTATCGATTTTTCTTTTATTAAATTTTATTTATTAAAAAAAGGGACTTTTTAAAGAATTATCAATTAATATTAAAAACTAATTTATTGGCAAGAAAGCAGGAAAATCAGTCTCTTTTGTATTTAAAAAGCTTTATTTATCATCAATTTGCCAACTGTTAAATTGTTTATTCAATTTTTATAACAAAATCCTTACTTAATTTATTTCAATGCTCTTTAAGTTATTATAATTATTTGATTTATAATTTTCACATATCCTTGAATTCCCAAAAGAAAGTAATTTCTTAAAATACTTTCTCATTTCATTAACTAATAAGGAATTTGAGGTAGTAAACACAATATTAAATTTGGTCTCTTATTATATATTCTATTGGTATGAAATCTCAAATAATAATTATTGAGATAAAATTTTAAGTATTGTGCAAGTGGTTTTACCTGTTCCACTTCTTCCAATAACCAAAGCATTTGAATTAGTGTCAATCACTTATTACTCTTAATCAGTTGTTGTTATTAACTGCTGTTATTCAGACATCTAATAAACAATTTCCAATATCTCAGATAGCGATGATATGTTTTACATTGACTCCAAAATCGAAACATCTCTTTCGATCCTCTATTACCCTATTTCTCTTTACTTAATAAATTATTGTTCACTCGAATAAAGATAGAGGTCATCAATTTAAATTAAATTATTTATGTCATTTATTTTTTGATCATCAAATATGTTAGGATAAAAATAACACTACTTTTAATAATGATTTTAAAATTGGAACACGCTCCAATTTTAATCTAAATTTCTTAAAAATAATTGGTATATATTTAGAGATTTTCCACTCTTATCAAATTATCCATTAACTTAACTTTCTTTCAAATTAACTGGAAATTATTTCCTTGGATCCTATGCATTTTTTATTTAAAATTCCGAAAATATACTATTAATTATTGAATCCTTAATTTAGTCTTTGATCAGCAAATCTATAAATGTAATTGTGTGGATAAATTGAAAATGTTCAAACTAGAATAAACTTTAATTGTACTTAATAACTATCAAACTTTGGTTTTCTTATCACTGCACATTCAAATAAAAGTATTAATTATTTATCTTTATTCGAACTAGTAAAAAATACTTAATACATTTGCATTTAAGACAAAAAATACGATTTCGTTTATATGCTATCCTATTTATAAAATACACCATTTGACAATTAGCAAACTTAAAAGAAAATTTCATTATAATATTTCTTGAAGTCTCTTATTTTTGTTTTGAATTATTCTTTGAAAATAGATTTAGAATTTACATAAAAAAATCACATTCCAAATGCAACCATCAAAAATATCATCAAAGCTTAAACCTTATGATTCTAAATCATTGCCCAGAATTAAATTCTCAATAAATACTTAGTCTTCTATTTAAAATTAGGTTTATTTCAAGATTTTGTCCCTTAAATCAAGAATTTTAGGATTTATAACCTTTGATTTCAAAGCTTTAGATCGTGTTTTATTTTTTTTATTCATAATTAATTTATTATATGGAAATAGAAGTGCAAATTCATTCCAATAATTTGAAATATCAAATGCTATATTATAAATGTTAAGTAATCAATTGGATTTTTGTATTTATACAACATTATGCCCATTTAATGTTACTTAACAATCTCAATTTTTAGTTAAATTATTTGATTTACTACTAGTTTTAACTTAAGACTATATGAATTTATAATACCTCTGAATATAATGATTTTTATTAATAATGTTGAATTTTATATTAATTTTACAATTTAGTCACAACTTTCATCTTGAGAATTATCTATTATGTCAGCTCATAATAATTAAATTTTATGTTAATAAATGGTATTGAAAGTTAAATAATTAATAAATTGATCTAAAATAGACAGAAGGGAAAGGGGAAGGTGTTTGAAAATACATTAATTTAATGTTTATCGATTTGAATTTTTCATTATAATAATAAAGATTTATATAACAAATTATAGAACACATAATCCATATGAGATTATACATTTTATTTCGCTTTCATTTCAAACACAAGCATTGCAAATGTAATTATAATGATTATCACAATACTCCTCTTTTGTCAATAATTTCTAAAATTAATACTCTTTTAAACAACGTATGCATTTAATCTATCTCAAGTAATGAAACGCATCTAAGCATATGTAGTAAGTCTTGTTTTGGATTTAAATTGTTTTCTCAGTCTATTTGCAGATTTTGCTTTGGCAATAATGACATTGCTAGTTGAAAAAATTACATTCACTGTTTTTGCAGTTTTTACAGAAATTGATAAAGGTTTCTTGTAATTATTAATAATTAAATGCAATTTTAAACTCCTCATTACAGCATTCACATTTACACACATCTTCCTACTTTTTCTTTTCTAGACATCCACTACATATTTCTTGAAAATTAATCAAATTTTCCAATTTTTCCTAACAATTACAATTTGCACAAATTTTCTAAAGTTTACTTTGATCAGTTTTACCACCGAATACATCACTTATTTGCTCATATTATCCTAATTATGATGCATCTGCTTGAAGTATATTTTTACCCAATTTAAGAGTAATGCATAAAGGTGTGCATTTCTAATGCTGAAATTAGAAAAAATTATTTTTACCAAGTTCTTAGCAGTTTCCTTCGTCTTCAAACTCTTTGGAATGAATGCATGGATCACTTAATAAATTTGATTTTCCTTATAAGTCAGTGATAATGAGATTTTCATTAGTCTTCACATATGTAAAATGGGAAAAAGTAGTAAAATTATACTCTTTATCAAAAAAATCTGCATTGTTACTATATTTTTGCCAAGGAATGTCTAAATCAATGTAGCTTTCTCCATATATGACTTTTATTCCAAATACTGGAAGATCAAAATAATAAATATATGGTGTAGCATAATATATAGGTAGAAATTTTCCTTTCTATTAATCGCATTATTGATTAAAATAATGAGATAACTATTTAGCAATTAATTGCTGTTAATATTTGTTTTTGGCATAATTTTTCGATTTTACTTGTAATTCCTCAGTGATAAATTAATTTTTTTTTATCTATTAAATAATAAATTTAGGAATTTTCAATACCACGTAAATATTATTTTTTTAATCAAAAGCTTTAAAAACCTAAACATTTTATCCTTTTTCGTTGTTTTATAGATTGAGTTCGGATTTTTCAATTTATAATAATGTTCTTTTTTTTTGCAGCTTTGTTTTTTTCATTTAAGATCTAAATTAATTCATGTAAGAGCCATTCCTTGCTTCAAAACTATAATTCATTTGCTACTATTTTCTATATTTAACTTCTCTAAATATAAAGTCATTATCATCCTCTATTTTTGTTGATTTATGCATAGTTGCAGATAATGAAAATAAAACATAATCTGAAAATTTATTTTCTGTAATCTTAGCACTTGAGTAATTTGGAACGCACTTCTTAAAAATTTCTTCCATCTTATCAGTCTATTATTTAATGGAAATAAAAGAAAAAAAAAATCGTTTCTTTTTTTTCACAAAATTTTCTAATTTCTCCTCTAAATTATTTGTATCAGGCCTATCATCAATTAAACAACTATGATATTTTCTTCCGTGACAAGGGGCATCAGTTATAGTGAATATCTATAAAATACTGTCTGGATGTTTAGAAATATTTAAATTGTATGCAACATCTAAGGCTCCAATCAAATCTTCAGGTATGTCTTCTCCTCCTTTAGGTTGAAATTTATCAATAAACTTTTCTATTTCTTCTGGCTGAACAGTGAAATCGTGGTATTAAATATGATTAGGTCCATCAGTAAAGTCTCTATAACAAACAGCAGCTATTCGGACACAAGATGAAACCGAAATCTTTTTTGTAAATTCTTTAATTATAAATTTGATATTGTGTTTTGCAGCAATTAACCAATCTTCCATACTTATGGTACAATCTATGATAAATATAATATCCACTTGGGGTCGAAGCTCAATTTGGTTTACCATTGTCAAAAGTGATCTTTGCTCTATAAAGACTTGCATTTGTTATTGTTTTTATTATTATTTAATAAAACTTTTATCTTTTTCATCAAATTTTATACACCCTCTGGCAACAATTGCTTTCTCTTTTACTTTCTAGAGTGAATTTTCTTATAAACTTTCCCAACTTTTATGAGGCTTGATACATCTACCATCTAACATTGGACAGATGCCTTTGAAATTCTTTATGCAAAATTAATCGAAATTGTAAATTTTTGCAGGACAATTACAATTGATCTCGTCGCAAAACATTTCTGGATTCGCTCCTGAAATTGAATACTCTTTGTATACAATATCTCTTAATTTATCCCAAGTCACTTTATGAATTAAGGCTGGCTCACCTTTACATTATTTTTTTTTATTTAAACACTATAGACAAACATTTTTTAACCAAGGAGGATGTAAATATCTACAATTCAAGTCTTAACAATTTGTCGGACATAAATTATACTACCTAATTCCATTAATTGGATGTTATTGAATTTTGTCTCTTAGTTATTCAATGCTAAAATGTTATAATCCGCATATGGATTGATTTTGGCAATAATTATTCAAAAACCCTATACATATTCCTGCAAATGCTCTGGGGTGTAATTTGGTACAAAAATTATCCATGCATAATAAATTGTACATACAAATTTATTCAGCATCACTATCCTCATCAATGAATTCCATTCGTAAGTATTTATTTATAATTAATGATTAATTTAAAGGATCAATAAATTTTATAGAAATAGTATAACAAATAAAATTAATGCTTAATTAAAATACACTAAGTATCTTAGTTAAATTAGATAAGAATCATTAAAATAATTAAATATTAATAGAATTAAAATATTGTGTTTATTAAATTTATATATTTTTATAAAAATTCATCATCATATTAATTAAGATAAAAATAAAAGTAACCCGTAGAACTTGGAAACATTAAGATAATTAATTATTATAAACTAATCTTTTCTAGCTTATTTTGACACATCCAAAAACTGGAGTGAAATAATAACAATCAAAAACGCAATTATAAATGTTCTTTTAGTCTTTTTTTTTGCTTCTTAGATATTGTATTGAACTATATAAGTTGCAGAGCATAATATTTTAATATCGGTTAGAAACTTTTCAAACTAACAGCTTCATTTGAAAGATTAAACATCACTTGTATTAATTTTGAATTTTTCAAGTCTTATACCTATTTCCTCTAATAGCCTTTTTTATCCAAAACAATTGATGCCTATTGAGATTAAAATAGTTATATTCTCAATCTAAGTCTATAAATAGTAAATAGAAATTGCTTTTAATCCTGAAGTTGCACATTTAGGACCTTAGTATTGCCATAAATTTCTTAATCTTTAAATCAAATTACAATTGCAATCTTTTAAAAATAATATATTTCTTCTTTTTCTAGATTTCTTTTTTTTAAGTTTAAACTAATTTTATATTGCATTAGCTTTGACTACATTTATCTTTCGTTCAAATTTCAACTTCATAATATTTAAACATTCAATTTTTTGTTTTCTAAAAAACGAAACAACTTTAAGTTGTTCAAATACTTGGAAGTTTAGAGTCGATGCATTCAGGATTATTTAAAAATATTTACATGTTAGATTTAAGGTCAAGCGTTATCAATTGTCATTTTTCTAAAATCATTCAATCTTTCAACACTAATTATTGTAGATCAACTTAAAGTAGATTTATTAAAAGATCAAAAATATAATATTGTCAATTGAATGTTTAAAATCACTCTCTTTATTGAAAGTATTGAATGAGAAAAACAAAATTAAACAAAAATAATTACAAAAATGTTATTGAAAAAATAGATTCGAGAATTGGAGAATTAGGAAATTTAAGAAGAGTAATAATAGTCATGAATAAATGTGAATGACTGGGATATATTGATATTATTAAAATGTCTAATTATTTTATTTTTAATAAATTATTCCATTATTTCTCCATTAAAATATTCAATTTCGATTAATTAACAAAAGTATTCAAATTTTAATTTGATTAAATAAACAAAGATTCACAGCAATTCGTTCATCAATAAATTTATTAAGAAATAATTATGTAAAAAAGTGATAGATTAACAAACTTAACATTATTTCTAATAGCAATCACAATTCTGAGATAGAACCCTAAATCAAAGATATAAAATTCTTCATCTCTTCTATTGATATTTATCCTTTTTTGTTTATTTAATTTGTTATTTTTAAGTAAATTAGATTCTATCTTACAAGCAATTATGGATGTTAGATAAAAACAAATTTAAGAAGCAGAAAATCAAAATGATATTTATAAAAAGTCCTTACAAGTAAAGATGATTGGAAGAATGAAATTATTGAATATCATAGAAAGGATATGAAGCCTATTCTAAATAAAATTAAGGAGTTAGAAGAACACATTGTAGGTTGAATTAAAAATATTTGATCTTTATAGAATCAACCAATATAAACTCAGTAACTATCTAATTCAATCTATTTTCCTTTGAAAAACTTACAAAATTTCAACTCTATTATGGTTGATTAGAAATAAAGTATATGCTAGTTAGATATTTAAGAACAATAAGATAATAAGGATATTAATGTTAATTTAACTGAAAAATAATAAAATAACTCAATCTTGTACAAATCATTGGAATCTTAACGAAGTAAATGATAAAAGTTATACATAACGAATTAGTATGGTCTGTAAAAAGGCATAGATATAAGTAAGTAAGAGCATAGGACAAAAATAGAAAAAAACTTAATATCTTCTATTATTTTGATATGTTTCAAATTTTCCTCTCTCAAAATATGAACTCATATCTCTTATTAAATTAATATCTCAAACCTAAAATATAATTATAATATTAGGTGAATAATAACTTTACATTTATATTAATTCATAAAATGTTGAAATTAATATATTTCGCAATCAAATATATATATTGTTATTGTATGTCTACCAAGCTAAGACACATTGAAAATGACTTACCAATTCATTTAATATTGTAAATTGAAAACAATCTTTATGCTGGCGCATGT